TTCATCAAGAGATATGGCGAATCCTATGTGATACTCTTGATTTATGTTGATGACATGCTGATTTCCGGGCCCGACTTGGCCCGCATTGAAGAACTCAAGGGGCGTCTTTCCGAGTGCTTCGAGATGAAGGATTTAGGTCTAGCAAATCAGATTCTTGGGATGAGGATCATCAGAGACAGATCAACACAGAGGCTGATGTTGTCTCAGAAGGTATATATTGAGAAGATTCTTAAAAAGTTTGGCATGGAGAAAGCTAAACCGGTAGGCTCGCCGTTTGAAAGTCATTTCAAGCTATCAAAGACGCAAGCACCAGAGACTGCTGAAGAGCATGAGTTCATGGCCAACATATCATACGCATCTGTCATCGGGAGTTTGATGTATGCGATAGTGTGCACGAGGCCGGATATTGCACAATGAGTGAGAGTTGTGAGTCGCTTCATGAGCAATCCCGGGAACCAACACTGGGGTGCGGTCAAGTGGCTTCTACGCTACTTGAGATGCTCATCTGATCGTTGTCTTGAGTATGGCGGGACAGATTTGCAACTAGAGGGCTTTTGTGATGCAGACTACGCCCGGGACATAGACTCGAGAAGGAGTTCGAGCGACTACATCTTCATCTTGGGTGGTGGAGCGATAAGTTGGATCCAAGCTACAAGATACTGTGGCTTTGTCAACAACCGAAGAAGAGTACGTGTCTGCAGCAGAGGCAGCAAATGAGTTGCTATGGTTGAAAACTTTTCTTCTCGAGCTTGGGGTGAGCTTTGAGAAATACCTCATCCACTGCGACAGTCAAAGTGCCATTCACTTATCAGAGAACGACGTATTTCATGCTCGAACCAAGCATGTTGGCGTGAAGCATCATGCCATACGAAGATGGTAAAGTAGAAACGAGTTCAAGCTTGTGAAGATTGATACGAGATACAATCCAGCCGATATGCTGCGATATATGCTGACCAAGCCAGTTCCGCTCGAGAATGTAAGGCTGTATGCAGCCTCATATGGCCTCCGTTGAGAATGTTGAGGACAGTGCAAGACGCCAAAGATACAAGACATCCGGATGATGCAATCAAGAATGATGTGAATATATGATTGATACTCAATCAAATCTTCAATTGGGAGATTGTCAGCCGCTCTTTGTTGACAAAGGACAGTTAGGCACCGAAAGTTGCCGTTTTTTGAGAAAAAATAAAAAAGGTGGTGGGTAAGGAAATCTCATCCTAAAAACAACTCCTCTCATAGAAGAGTAAGAGAGAAAACACAGAGAGAGATTGTGAGAGTTCTTGGAGTGTATCTGATCAAGAGAGGGTGTTCTCTTTGATTTATTCTTTTGGGATATAAAAGAATTTGGCGTCGTCGTTGCACCGTAGAATAGCTCCGAAGAAGTGAACCGCGTATATCTGTGAGTACTGTGATTGATTTTTGTGCCTTTATTCTGTGTGTTACGTCTCCGTTCAAGTCGTTATTGTTGGTGTGTATCCTAACACCCCCCCAACCCCCAACCCCCACCCCTCTCCTCAAGACATTTTTGGCAATTCTGAATGCATTGACGTGATGTATTTTGCAGACAGTAAATGTTGTTAGTACTTAGGAATATGTCCACCATGTCTGAAAAGGACTGACTTACTAAGGAATTTTGATCGCCAGCTATCTTAAACTATACATATGAAAGCTTATATGAATCTGTCCATAATGTAAAACTCGAATCTATCTAGGAAAAAGACTTCATTGTTATATTAGCTGTTTCTTGGTTTCTCCATCCAAGGCAGATTCTGAATCATTATTGAGTAATCTATAACTAGAAACTAACATAGTGGCCTTGTTATTTCCAGAGATTCCCTTTTTGGCCCTTCCTGAGTCCAAAAGCGTCCACATGACAGTAATTGAGAACCAATAGTCTCCTGTTTCTTTGTTATGCATTCTCCTGAGTTAATTGGTTGAATAAGCTTAATTTTCTTTTCGTGGACTATTATATTTAGTTATATAACACGACATGGTTTCCCTTCATGGGAGAGGTAAATCTATCCTGAGGCGCGCAGAACTCAAAACTTCAGGATCCACACAAGCCTTGCATATCCGCAGGGAGATTCGCTGTTGTGCATGTTAATTAACCATAAAGAGAACAATGATGTCAAGAGTCCTCGAAGCGAAGAGGAGGCAGCAGCAACAATGGCAAAGGACCGCAAGCCCTTCATACAAAAAGGAACCACACAGTGGCAAGACCAATACTCAATCCCTTTACTCTGTCAACCAATCTGACGACGACGAAGAGGGTTGGTGTGGCATAGCAGGAGAGTTTCCTTTAACGTTTTGTGGTGGAGGCGGCGGTGGGAGCAGTCTAGGGCTAAAAGAAGTGCTGCGATCATCCGTGCAGGTTCTTGGTATGAGCAGCCTTGGTATAACTGAAAAGATCGTGCTTTTAGATGGGTCGACGTTTGCTACTAAGAGATTTAGGAAGGTGGCTGTTGGCAGGACAGATTTTGGGAAGAGGGTGGAGAGGGTGGCTGCTGTTTGCTGGCAGTGCGATTACTTGGTCCCCGTTCGGGCTTACGTTTATTCGAAGAGGACCAAGCTCGTATTATGCAACTATTATCCTATGGGGAGTCTTGCTGATCTTCTTGCAGGTAAAAATTTATCGTATTCATGTTCATATTTTTTTTTCAGTATTCGAGGAGATCTTATGAAGAAAATTAAGAACAAATTTTTAGGATTGGTTATGTGTGTGTTTTTTGAGGGAGAATATAATCGTTATATCTATTTAGATATTCAATCCTGGCATGTAGAAATAGGGCTCTGCAGCATTAAAACAGTGCATGCGGGAAGATGCGAAGCAATCTGACGTTGATTAATGCTTTCTATAGATGAACGGGGTACTGGTGTCCTCAGAAATTGATAACCAACATCACGTTGCATGCAATGGAAACATTCGGTTCAGTCGCGAGGCACCATTTTTTTGTACCAAGGACATTTTTTTTCTGAGAATTTCCAAAATATTACACATGGAAAACTCGTACAGTAAGAACTACATTTGAATAGGGGTTAATATTCGACTAATATTCCTATTCATATCAATTGTGAGAGAAGGTCTTATTAAATAATGTGTATTCCTTGTTTTTACTTTGGAAATATCTAAATTAGCTTTAAAAAGTTTTATTAAAGTCAACTTGATGCAACAAGCTGCAAATGTTAAACACGCGCATATACTTACTTATACACATATCTACATCTCTCTATGTTTTAATGTAATTACATGTACTGTCCCTGCTATTATCTTATATCCCTTTTGATGTTCATGCAGGTAGTGATTGTATAATATTCCTGTTCTGTGTTGGTACCAAAGTTACATAACTAAGTTACAGAATATCTTAAAGCTTATAAACCTCTCTGCATACGCGTAAATTTCCATATTTTTGAGAGTCACCCCAATTATAAAGGAAGACTGCATCCTTGTACAGGGAACAAGTCGATTTTTTGTTAGCATGTATGATACATGTATTTGTCGATCTGAGCTATAGTTCTTTGGGTAATTTAGCAAGTCAATTTTCCAAATTACTTAATGTACCAACTTTTACGATGTACATATATAGTATACATACGTCTCCAATATCCGATACTGCTGGGAATGATCCTATCTGTGGTTTACTATAGTACATGATATATCTTTGTATTTAGTTACCAAGTACCGCATTGACTCGCTTATTGATATAACTTTCAGCATCATGCACATTCATTATTTTCTTACTAAGTCGAGGGTAATGGTATACTGACATGAAAATACCATTATATAATGCGTCTTTTTTTTTTAACCTTCTCATCTAAAGTGGAAAATTTCTTTGTAGGAGCCAGAGACCTAGGACACACCCAATTGAACTGGCAAATGAGAGCAAGGATCATCCTACATGTTGCGAGCGCTATATCCTTCATTCATTCTCAGCCTCTCTCAACTGAAGACAGACGCTTTCGATCCAATATCCATGGCAATATAAAGTCCTCCAATGTCTTTATTGGTACCAATTTCTCTGCCCATCTCTCTGATTATGGCTTTGCCCAGCTTGCTCGAACCATTGACACCCCCAATATTGCCCGGGCAAAGAAACCTTTGCCTACCACTTTGGGGGTCGAAAATGGCAAGAAGAAGCGTTCGCAAAAAGAGGATATCTTTGATTTCGGCGTGATGGTTTTCGATGTATTGGGTGGTGCGAGGGCACCTCATCAAATACACTGCATCGTCGAAAGGGTGGAAGAAATAAAAGCTGGGACTTGCCATTTTTTCGAGTATTTTGTTGAAGGGCAAGCGAAGGTTCAAGCATTGAGAGTGTTGGAGGTGGCCTTGGCTTGTACTCATGAATCCCCTGAGGCTAGGCCCTCTGCCGATGAGATACTTGCCATGCTTACTGATGCTCTGAGTAATAGTTATAAACTCTCTAAGTAATAGTTATAAACTACAGGTGATGATAATATATCCGTGTATATACATGAAGACTCTATTTTTATTGGTTTGCTCTTCTCTGCGTTATATGGTTAGTGTTTGAACATTGCCTGGTATGGTTATACATTTGTCATCTGCAGTACAAACAGCTCGAATCAAAGCTAATGCTGACTACGCACAAGGGTAATCACTGAAAATCAGTAAAAAAGAGGGGGTTTTCACAGAAAAAGAAAGGAGTCCGTTAAATTGCTGCGCGCATTCCTGCATTGCATCAATCAGAAATGTAAAAAGTAAATGCAGGTGCAAAGTCGGACGAGGAACAAGAATTGGCAGTGGAGATCCACACAACCATCTGACGAATTCGGACAAAAGTTTGAGGTTCCTGAAAATCAAAGGCATCAGTTGTCGAAGTGAAAGAAACTATCACATCAAGGATCAAGCCACATCCAGTTGCATACATGAAACCCTGCTACAAAATTGCCCCTCTTTTAGCAACATCTTTTTACAATACAAACATTGTATTAAATAAGAGAAGATGCATTCTGCCTCATCTCTCATGCTCATCTCTATGCTTTCTTTCCCTGTACTTATTATCATCTCGATCTCTTTTCTTTCTTTCCAGGGACATATCATCATCTCGGTCTCCTTCTTTTTCTTTCCCTATTTGCACATGCATCATCTCGATCTCTCCTCTTTCTTTCATGGTAATCCTCTCTCCTATACCTATCGCTCTCAGATCTCCTATAATCTCTCTCATCCTTCGGTCGGTGACTGCTTTCCAAGCTTCTCCTGTGATCTCTGTGTGCTCGGTCATCTGCTCTCTCGTCAGCTCTATTTTTATCATCATATCTAATATTTTTGTCTTCCAGATCTTCATCAAACACCATGTCATACCTGCAGAAATTTCTTTATATGAGAGGCAGCTCCATATAAATATTAGAATATAGGGTTAATTGCAGATAGACCCCCCGTACCATCGCCAAATTGAACTTCACAACCCGGTAGTTCTAACATTGCAGATAGACACCCTGAGTGAATTTATGTTTTTGACCCTTTTCAGGGGGACTATCTGCAGCATATATTTTCACTCAGGGGGTCTAACTGCAACAGGAGAACTACCAGGATAGTAAATTTGATTTGGTGATAGTACAGGCGTCTATCCGCAATTAACACTAAACTATATCATTGTTTATCTTGATTTGAATAGAGACCTCTTGCGACCATCTCCGCCGTGTTGGGTCTGATCATTTTTCAGAACATATTTTGGTCCTTGCTGCTTGTTATTGGAGCCTTGTTGACAGTCCCGGGCAATGTGATCAGTATTACCACACTTGAAGCAGCCACCTAAGATAGAGAATTTGCAATATGAAATAAATTATGCGATTCTTCTAAATGTTCGTTATGTTCAATATTTAGTTGAGACTATAGTTTAAAATATACCTTTACGATCTTGACTCCCTTTACCATGTCTGTATTGGTTCCACAATTTGGAAACACTTTGGCTGAAATCCACATGTATTCTGCGGTCATCAATCAACACATTGTCCATCTGTTCGATTACAAATATTGACACGGTCAAAGTTCTGGATTAACATCTAATAGAATCTCCACATGAAACCGAAGCAGGAATATAGATATTTCTGATATACTTGTACCGATTGGAAACTTATAGCCACAAGCTATAAGTCAAAAACAAAAAATTTCCTAAAATAGTATTTATACATGTATTGTCAACAAGAAAAGTTTTTTTTAGAGGAACAAAGATGGTTTGAATTAGGCATTAATGCAAATCTACAAGTGATAAAGGTCAATAGCAAACCACGGTTGCATCACTTTTGGCCCAAAAGTAGCTGAGCTAACCCAAAGGTAGTAACTAAGATAAGAAACTCAAGAACAAGCCAGTTACTGTACTATACATTCAAAACATATTACAAAGGTGTAATATTATATTAGACATACATATGGAGTAACATAAAAGTTACACCTACCTATGAATAATTAGGTCCATTCTGACCCTTTCATTGCGAAATACAACTTTTAAACCTATAAAGATTAATAATTGCATGAATTAGAGATTTCAAACTGCCTCAGGAAAATAAAAATAATTGTTTTCAAGATTGTTACAGGTTTGCTCTTTTTATCCTATGAGATACATATATTAGAAAATTTCACCAATGAGATTTTGAACCCATGTGGACATTAAAAAGTATGTGTGACAATGAATACTTTAGATCCCCACCCTAATATAAATCATTGGCCTGACCGCCTATTAAGGCTTGCAAAGAGGAAAAAATGTACAAGATCATACTCCCTTTAAACACAGGAGTTTGGGAAAAACTTTCCCTAGACGAAACTACCCCTAACTCTCTTGATCATTACATTGTTATCATATCATAATTAATATGTTTAATCCGAATAATTAGAATGTATTCATAATTTATTTGAAAGTATAGTCCTTATATAAAATCCCTATCATCAAATAAGTTTCTATCCCTATCACATGGACTTCCGCTGCGCATGGCCGACTAAGTGTGCTAACTTTTAAGCATACACCAGTGTTTTCAAAGGCGCGCGCCTCATGCGCCTTACGATGCGGGGCGGTGGTGAAACGCCCCACTTCTGATGCAACAGCGCTTTTTGCGCCTCGCGTACATCCTTACCTTGTGTAGGGTGCATGTAGTACATATCCTCATATAGTTTTGTTTGTTAACATTTCAATCGAGTCTTTATACTTGATATTCCATATCCCAAAAAGCAAAATAAATCCATTAGGCCTTTTTAGTAGCCTTCAATTGAGGACCATTACTAATCCTTTGCTTGAATATTAGTCTTGATGTAACATTTGATTTGAAAATTTATGAATTTTGCTACTATATTGGGTGTTAGCATTAGAAATTAAGGCATTATATTGTAATTTTATAGTAAGATATTATTTATCATGACATTTTTCATGTGAATTCTAAAAACATGCTTTTTCGCACTTGATTATATATTTTGAAAAATTATGTGGGGGGTGTGCACCTCGCATCACTCGGGCGTGCGCATCGCGTTGCGCCTTGCGCATGTGCGCGCAAAGATGCTTTGCACCCCGCATTGCGCCTCGCGCATTGATAACACTGGCATACACTAATCTCCTACTAGAAATTCTATTAGATAAATAAGTAGCAATAAAAATTTTCATCTATGTCCTCCAAATTTTTTATTTATATATTAAAAGTTAATAGATCTACTTTGCCATGATATCATCCTTGGGCATGTTAATCCATAATCACTAACAAAAAGGGATTCTACTTTGCCATGATATCATCCTTGGGCATGTTAATCCATAATCACTAACAAAAAGGGATAAAGTTTCCACCTAACCTTCTAAATTTTTATTTACAAATTAGAAATTAGTCCAAATTTAATTTGTCTAGGGATTTATTTTTTCTGTGTGGGTATGTAGACCATTTCATATTTTGAAATAACGACGTCAGTAAGATTTACCGAGAAAAGTGTAATGTTATGATAAGTGTCGTATTTGAGGAGTTAAAAATTTTCATCTAAGTCCTCCAAATCTTTTCTTTAAATTAAAAGTTCGTCGAACCACTTTACTATAATATCATCTCACCCATGTCACAAATAAAAAGGGATATAGTTTCCATCTAACACCAAAAATGTTTTTTATTTATAAACTAGAAATTAGTCCAAATTTAATTAGATAATCCAAATTTAATTCGTCTAGATATTTATTTTTACTACAATGGATATTAGATCATTTCATATTTTGAAGTAACGACACCAATGAGATTTACAGAGAAAAGTGTAAGATTAAGGGGGTGCTATGAAATCCCATATTTGAGGGCTTTAGATCAAATTCTCAAAGTTGAGAGGTGTTATTGCAACATTCCCAAAACTAAGGGAGTTTCTTCAAATTAAAATAGTTACGGGGTTTTTTTAAGCACCATAAATGTCTTGGGGGTATCCTTTTACTGCTTGGGAGATTTAATAACCGAAATGAGTCTTTAGGCCATTTCACATATTGAAGTAACAATGTCAGGTGGCTCTACTGAGAAAAGTGTAAAGTTCAGGGAGGATTATTGCAATATATTTTATGGTAAACATATTTATCTCACAACTGAGTTATAATAAAGAAATAAAGAAAAAAAATCATGACATCTAACCACGTGCAATTCATGTGCATCCCACCTACCTAGTAAAATGAAATGCTCAAGTAAAAGAACGAATAACATAGTGCTTTTTACTTACCTTGAAAAAAGCCCGTTCACATGCCTCGTTGGTTTCAAACTCTGCAAAATGAACCAGAAAGTTGCCGTTAACATGAAAATCTATGGTGCACAAGGCAACACTATATAGTAAGTACTGCCAAAAGAAGTATATCTATGAAAATATATGGTTACAAGTTTTCAATATTACATATGCATAACACTGTGCAGCAGTGATCATACAACAACAAAAAGAAGAACAAGGCCTTTATGTTCCAATAATCACATGGTCAATTAATCACCTTAATTGGATAGGAACATCATTAACTTCTAGTTTTCAACATCATTTGTCAATATAATATATCAATGAAACAATTAACCATGCCTGAGATGGTGGTGGAACTTGAAATGTTCATGTAGATGTGGGATGAGAACTTTATGCAAATGGAGATGGAAACCCAAAAGAGGGAAATCTAAAGAGAAGAGAAGAGAACAAAAGAGTAAACTCGAAGTAAGGCAACCCCACAAAGCTGATTGATAACTGGGATACAAACATACAACAAGGAGGTGGTGGCTCGTGTTTACGATGAAGGGATAGGGAAGAGCAAGTCAATACTCAGGTTAGCAAGATGATAGCAATCAATCCTCATATCAAGTCTTCAGAATTATTGAAGACCTTAGATTCATTCTACTTATAAAATAAGAGGAGATGTAATATGGACACATATAAAGACTAAATGCACTCACCAATAAAAGCATAGCATAGGCTATCTCCAGTCTTATAATCACGAATTATATCAGCTCTGAAAAAGTGAAAAATCTAGTGACATTTCAAGAAACGAACAAAGAGAAGGGAAAAAAATATAACTAGTACTCACGATGTTACGGTCCCAAAACGAGAAAATATTGTAAATAAATCCTCGTCCTGCATCATTCAGGAGACAACAATTAGCACGTTATACCTTCTAAAATAGCTATTTAAACAATCGAACTAATGACGAACCTGAGTGACTGGATTAAGTTTGCAAACAAATAAGACATTCTCCGGTGGCTTTATCTCAGCATCTGGGATGTCTCCTATCTGATCACATAAATTTAATGTAAATACGCAAACAAAAGCAATTAAATGGATACAACTATAAGAAAGTTGCAAAATTTTGGTAAAAGTTCGTACACTCTCTAGAATAGCTGCATTAGTATGAGCATCTTTAGCACGAATCAACTCCTCAAGTTCTTCTGGTGCTAATTTTTCATCCATGGGCACCCAAGTATCTTCCAGGCGCTCCTCTGCTGTCTGCATATTTACCAAATCATACTCCCTTTAAAAAAGCACGAGTTCGGAAAAATCTTTTGGTAGACAAAAATACCATTGGAATTTAAATATTATTCCATTAAGTAAGAGTAAGTTGATAAATTGATAAATTTTTATTGGATATACATAATATGAAGATAAGGATACAATTTAAATTGAAATGTAAATCTAAATAAAATTATTAAATGTCAAATTTACAAATGTCTACAAAATAAAGGGCGTATATGCAAAAACTAAATAAATTAATGAGACAAATAATGTCTACCCCAAAGGTCGAACCCGAAAATAACGTAGACCTACAAATGTACATAATGTGGATGAAATATTTACAAACTCCACCAAACAAATTAAAGAGAAATTATTCTCAAAATTATAAAAAAAATTAAGGAAAACAAAAATCATACTCCCTTTAAAAGCACGAGTTCAGGAAAAGCTTTCCATAGTCAAAATTATCTTGTACTATTTTAAATATTTAATTTAAATTATAATCTATCCTAATCATACTTATATCCTATCCTAATACCCCATGAATTATCTATAGCTCAACAATTTAAATAAGATTAATGAAATATATAAAACAGCTCCGTAGTATCAGCTTAATACATGGAGTATTACAAAAAAAAGCAAAAAGTTATAAAAATTAAACAAAATACTCTCAAAAGTTTAAAATTACACAAAATAAAAAGCTAAAAATTTAGAACTTGGCAAAGAAAAGAATAATTGTGTGATATTCTTTCATTAAGATATATAAATATAACTTATAATCTAAGGTTTACTATCCCTTTTCATAATCTGAAAATAGTCAAGTTGATACTGGTAAAAAAATAGGAATAATAATAGATTAAAAATATCCAGTTAAAGAATAAAAATTTAAAAATATATATGATAGACCAAAGGTCGAACCCGGGAACAACGTAGACCCACAAATGTACATAATGTGGATGAGATATTTATAAAATCCACCAAACAAATTAAAGAGATAAAAGTCATTCTCAAAATTATAAAAAAGAAAAATTAAGGAAAACAAAAATCATATTCCATTTAAAAGCACGAGTTCGGGAAAGCTCTCCATAGTCAAAGTCAAAATTATCTTGTACTATTTTAAATATTTAATTTAAATTATAATATATCCTAATCATACTTATATCCTATCCTAATATCCCATGAACTATCTATATCTCAACAAATTAAATAAAATTAATAAAATATATGAAACAACTCCGTAGTATTAGCTTAATACATGAAGTATTACAAAATAAAAATAAAAAGTTTTAAAAGTTAGACAAAATACTCTCAAAAGTTTAAAATTACACAATTAAAAAAAATAAAAATAAAAAGTTTTAAAAGTTAGACAAAATACTCTCAAAAGTTTAAAATTACACAATTAAAAACTGAAAATTTAGAACTTGGCAAAGAAAAGAATAATTGTGTGATATTCTTTCATTAAAATATATAAATATAACTTATAATTTAAGGTTTATTATCCCTTTTCAGAATTTGAAAATAGTCAAGTTGATACTGGTAAAAAAATAGTAATAATAACAGATTAAAAATATCTAGTTAAAAAATAAAATTTAAAAAAAATATATGATAGATTAAAATATAATGTAATTGTATAAATTAAAGTAATTGCATATAATTTTACCAATAAGTTAGAGCAGCAAAAATACATAAGTATCATTAATTGATAGAAGACTAAATCGCAAAAAATTGATAAAAGATTATAATATAATAACTTAACATTAATTTATTATAATCTATAATATTGATCTCTAATGGTAATAATATTTATAGGGTAAAAAATTATAAAGATTTATGTATGTAGAAGTATTAGAAAATTTAGAGATATCCTTTAAAAGAATCAAGTGGTTTTCATTTCAAATGGAATTTGAAACGTCCATGAATCACTTTAATTAACACTAACATAACTTATATTTATCAAAACAACACCGACTGAATACACTCTGAAGAATATATTAAACAACTTTGTTCCAATCAAAGAAACATTCTTCATAGAAGATAAAAGAAAAATTACCATGTCATGACTCTGTGTAAGCAAAAAATATAAAACTGCCCTTTTTCTTTTTCTTATATAGTATCATGACCATGCATGCGACTTTATATAGGGGTATGACTACTAACGGAGAATTAATTCTTAAAGACACGATCAAAGATAATGATGTAATAACACTATTAGAATTTAAGATCTCTAAATATGAAGATAGTATATTTCATTACTAAAATTTTTATGAAATGCCACTAAATATAAAATTCACCTTATATTTGTCTCAAATTTATAAAGAAGATATGCATGTCACCGTAAATTACGTCAATAATATATATCAATCCAAAGATACAACTTACTGAAGAAATAAGAGATTAATAAACAAACAAAGCAAACATCCATATAACACTGTAAAGAAAAAATATTACATTTTAAAGCTAATAATACAACGTTCTTTTAGAGTAAGCTTCCAAGACAAAAGCATCTCCATTAAGGCTCTTTATAAATGCAGCAAAATTTTAAATTACTAATATATACAACCATTATAATATTCGAAAGAGGTATGATCTTAGAAAACCAACTCCAAAATTCATGTAATTAAACATAAGAATAATTTAGCAATATACAGACACATTATTGCACCTTTAAGGCAATGATAACTATCATTTATAATAGAGTTGAGCAGTGGTTCTATGTTTGCAAAGGCTGCAACAAGAAAGTGGATAGAGATGTTAATAATAAGTGTCCAGATGATATGGTTCTATGTTTGCAAAGGCTGCAACAAGAAAGTGGATAGAGATGTTAATAATAAGTGTCCAGATGATAAATGTTGTAGAATCACCGATGTAGTACCAAGGTTAAGTGATATCTCTTCTTCATGAAATAAATATATCAAAATTAAATATTAATATTATAACTTAAAGCAAATTGACAATAAAAAATATAATGTATTTAGTTCAGATCCTCATGAAAAATAACACAGATAGAGCAAAAGTAACATTATGACACAACAGAAATTCTTATTGAATACACAACAGAAGAATTAATTACAAAGAAAAAGAGATAGCTTCTAACCTTATTTAAGTAATAAATTAAAAGCACACAATTTTATATATATGAAATTAACATTTATTCTTATTAAAATAGGAAAAAAAATCAAAGTTCGTATTGTCAGAAGTTTGTGTTGAACATAAGAAATATATTCAACTTTTTTGTGAATTTAGACGAGAAGACAAAAGATGAATAAACTCAAGGAAAGATAACATGCTCCAATCTCATATCACAATCGATGTAGACGATGAAGACACTACTCTAGAATTGCTCAGGAAAAAGATAAAGATGAAGAAGGATTGATCTTGACTCAATAAAAAATAAAATTGAAGCAACAAAAGATAATGATTTGTGAATTGTTATAAAATAGTTTTATTTTTTAGTAAAATTAGGAATCTTTAGAAGAGATTTTCATAAACTATTTTTAGTGCTTTCATATGCACGTGAATGTTTTTATCATATAAAAGTGTACTGGAGTTAACATTAATATTCAATTTATAATTTTTTTATTAACTATTTTCTGTTATTTTTAGCCCACTTTAAATCAATCATCTTGACTCGTTGGCTTTATTATTCATCTTTCTTTTATAATGTTATTTTTTCAAGTGTTTTCACTTTCATAACACTATACTTCCTCAGGTCAAGCTCGGTTTCATGCCGATCCAAATAAAATAAAATTTTAAATTGGCTTTAGATTATATTTATCTCCTGACAATTCAACTATCAACATAAAAATTTGAACTAGGTGTAGCCTATTCAAACAAACATCAAATAAATAAATAATCAAAGTGTAATCGAGGAATAAATTTTAGTAAGAAAATAAACAAAAAATACTTAATCAAAGTGAACAAAAATTATCAAAGAGTAACTGAGGAATAAATTTTAGTAAGAAAATAAACCAAAAATACCTAATCACAGTATTTAACCACGTGCATTGCACGTACATAAAATCTAGTAGAAAGAAAAGAAGACCATAAGATAAGTAGTAAAAAGAAATTACGCCCAACAAAACAGAAAAAACAGAAAAAGAAACAGAATAATGTGTGACAGGATAAAGCTAAAACTAGAATGTTGATGTGATGATGACAGGAAGAAATCAGGCAGATAAAGAAGTTGCTAGTCAAACATTTAGAAGTTAGACAAGGAGATGACCAGATGTCAGTTAGAAGTGGAGGCTTAAAGTTTAAAATTGATTATTAAATTCCATGCTAGTCTAATTACGATGACAAGCGTTAGATTCGTAAGCATTTGTGATTTTCTTTTTCTACAGGTCCATTAGGGACAAGACATGCTATTATTTCTCAAGGTTAAAGGTGATTTATCATTTATACAATATAAAACATGCAACTTACATAAGGCGCCAACATCCTACGGATTTTCATGAACCAATGACGATTTTGTCATGTAATTTTGTAATCAGAATATTGTTTAGAGCAAAGACTTACAAAAGCAATAAAGGAACCAGAGATGGATCCCTAGTTATCATATTTGGCGAGAACTACTGTACCACAATGGTAAAGCATTTGGGCAACCATGCAAGAAGGATGTCATGTTCTGTGCTCATATACAAAATTATGGAGCACAATGGACCAACGATACTGAGATGGTGTAAGGTATAAAACCTTAAGATCAAGTAAGCAGGACCGTACACACACATATGAACACATTTGCACGTGCACTACCAGAGTGCCACAGACCAAGCTGCTGTGAAAAGCACCTAAAATTAAAATTACCTCATCATGTGGTTTGCCCTCTGGAGACTTATCAGGAATGTATTCAGAAAGCTGAGGAGGATCTTCAAATGGATCATCCAAAATGTATGTATGTTTAATCCTGTACATTACAAGCACCATAAGCAATGAACACGTAATGAAAAATACCTTTAAGAAAACAAGGTTCTAAGGTCTTAACAGTTAATTAATAAGCAATGCTTGGAAAAATAGATAAATAAAGATCCAATAAGTTCTTATTTCTAGGAACTTTAGAAGCTTTTTATTTATCTTTTCTGCAAATCCCTTTGAAGAACGGGATACAAATTATGCAACATTCTTTAGTCATAAAAAAGTGGTCCAGTTGTAAATGAAACAAAAATCAAGTAAGATTTGGAACACGTAGTAGATATCCTTTATCTTTTTTCTTTTCTTTTCTTTTCTGTGTGTTGTTGTACAAGTCATTTTTTACAAAAGCCTATTGGGAGAGATGATGCCTATTAAGAGAGATGATCAGAACATTCAAGTTTACCCAGAGGAACATGGCACCATAGATAGACTTAAATCAATCATTAACTTTGATTTAGCAATTTGTTTTGCTAGAATTGAACTTGTTGAATTTTCCATTTAAATTATCAGTACTTAGTTTATAATTTCATCAATTATAGTTTATTTTCCGTTCAGTTCATTTGAGTCTGCATTTTGTTTGCATAAAGTTTCATTAAATCGCATATTGGAATCCTATTGATTGCGTTACGTCGCCTACTGTGTACAGAAACGGTGAATGATCTATGCTTACATGCGAAGACAAAATCCCTGTCAATGTTTTTTCATTCAGACAAAACTTTGTACTTTTCTTGAAGCGTGGAGAACGTGCACATGCATGAACAGAAGTACTTCTTAATTAAATCAATTAGAAGAAATACATGACAGATCTTTCATAACGGGTGAAATAGTCTGAAGATCTTTCAATTAAGAAAAGCTAATACAGACTGTAGAGTACGAAACAAACCTTATGTCTTTAAATGGTCTGCCTTTATCATCAACAAGTGATTCGTTTATCTTTGCCAAGGTATCTAAGCCTTCTTTTTCTTCAACAAGCCCAAATACCTGCATAAATAAATGAGATTCAATTTCCTGGCTTGCTTGTTATTAGAAGGGTACCCCTGAGGTTTTTGCACATGATCCCCTTAAACTTATGCCCCCGAACTTGTCATTTAACACTTACACCCAAAATAACACTGACAACTTTGACTGCCACGTGCCAGCAGCAAATGATGAAAATGCCCTCAGTTCATTAAAAAATTTACCTTTTCAACAACAAGAGCAGCTCATCCCTCTTAAGATTATTCTTCAACCTACCGTGTGTTTTTCATCCAGATAATCAATATCGTCACGCAGAGTGAAGTAGAACTGGCTCAAACAAAACAAAAAAATAAATAAATAAAATGAAAGAATTAGTAAAGAAAACCAGGTGAGGAAACAAAATGACCAGTCATTTAAAACATAAACATATGATATTTGAAAGTTCTACTCAAAAGCTACCAAAAGCAAGAATCACATCCTTTATTCTCTTTCTATGAAACGCCGTGATAGCAATTGCACATGCATGCATCTCCAATAATATCTAGGACAATAGAAAAATCAAACAAGCTAATTTCCTCGAATTGGAGATTACTAGTTGACTAATGCATCCACATACATACATTTTAGAAAGAGAACACGTATTTAAGTTATACAACTTAAGCTCTATTCCTTAACACAGTTTGTACTGGAACAACTAAGACTCCCATATCAGGATCAGCCTGGACATAAAAGCACATCATGTATTGAGGACCTAAAAAAGACATCTATAAACAGCTATAAGCCTAGGTCAATCCAGTTTTGATGCCTCAGGATTCATTAGAAGGAATGTATAAGTAGATAAAAAACACAAGATCAACAAGAAAAGACCTATAAAACCAGTATTTGCTTATATGACTTGAGAAATTGTACATACAACAGAAAGATATGAACTGTTTAAACTAAAGAATAGCTTTTATTCATTAGCTTTTATTCATAACTTATAATTGACATAGGCCATGATATTGTCTTCCTAAAATACAGGGTGAGAAATTTCCAAAAAGGACCTTCTAAGCATGAATTCTCTGTCATTCATTGACAAACTGAATTATGTCCACCTCCACAAAAACATCACAGAGTAAATTAAAAGTTACACCAAAACTTAACCAACCAATAAAAGATAAAGGCATAAAATAAACATCCAAATCCAGCAGATGAAGAATCATGAACCCATGAATTATGGTATTGTAACCCATATATGCCGGGGAGTCTGTTATTAACTTCTAGCAAATTTAAGCTGTGCAACTGCATTGCATCATGCTTCTTGATAGGATTCACAATAAATCTCAGGTGGATAAGAAGGTCCTCCTATGGCTGATGTAGACACAGAATCGTACCAATCTTCTCCAACTTCAAATAATAAAACATTTTACTGTTCTGATTCATACTTCATTTTAGCCCTAACATGCTAAGAAGGTAACTATTTCAGCTTGCAAGAAACATGACAAGGATTCCAGTTACTTTGCAAATGTTATGGTATACCTGAGAAGCATTGCAATCCTCACCAGCACTAGCCATTGCTACAGTCCCCATTTTAGAATGTTTTAAGTCTGGATGAATTTCATCCTTAAAAAAGCGAGCCTGTTCACCATAGAGGAATCTGAAGGATCACAATGTAAGCCGAATGTTAAATTTCTATAAAAGAAATAAATAAGCAGAGTAGCCGATAAATGGAATTAGAAATTAGAACTGAAACAATTAACAGATAGAGACAGATATTATAAACAATCAATCATAATCAACTTTATCTAAGACTTGGTAGCAATTTCTAAGCGAACAAACTATAGGTAACAAAGGGCGTCACCGCAAAAATTTTAATATGGTTTTCCACAGGAAATCACCTCTATCTCTAAACGAGGCACGATTAACCAATACAAAATGAAATACAGAAATCTGAAGTCATATGCATGATCATTAGTACCATACATCCTCAAGGATCATTAGTAACATTATTACAGCTTGCCAACACGGTTCACCAATAATTACCTTAAACTTAAGACTAAACCGTATAATAGCTTTCACATTGTTGCATGCTGGATACTGGTAGTATTTCTCAACAAGAAGTTAGTCTTCGCCGCAAAAAAGTAACAAGCCTAAAAAGGGAAATAATTCAGGATCTTTTGCATCAGGACACTTAACCCCAAGTGTATAAATATCTTTAGCCCTCAAGCCTTCCTCAAGTACAAATAAATAGACAACAGTTACACTTTTCTTCACTACAGAGAGTTGGATTGCTCTCAGAAGAAACTCTTAAAAGTATAATTTAAATCATAAGTTTACCCAATATTTTGTTACATGCTGATCGAGGTGAGACACCGATCCATCAAATAGATGCTAATTGCTAGAATTAGGGAGAAAAAAAAAACAAAACCCTCAACTTCAAGCCAATTTAATTGCATCTTGATGATTGATAAAAATTCTATAATCTAATATAATGGATTAGAGACAGAATATCACGAAATTGATATAGGGAATTTTGACTCTAGTGCTTATTTCAGAAAGATTTATACCAATACTTGGTCCACCACGCAAAGTTAAAGTCTTAAAATGCAAATGTTACTTTACGCCAAGCTAGATGTGATCAGCTATTGGAAAAACAAGTTCCTTTTTTTTAAAATGCAAATGTTACTTTACGCCAAGCTAGATGTGATCAGCTATTGGAAAAACAAGTTCCTTTTTTTAAAAAAACAAAATTAATCCGCATGTCAGTAAAAGCTACTAACTTGTAGACGGAGTCACCTCCGGCGCCGGTGCCGGTAGGGTCACCGGTCTGCGCCATGAAATCCTTCTCAACTTTGTGAAACAAGCAGCCATTGTAGTACTTCATCCTGCAAACAATCAAGAATTCAAATATCAACCAAATAAAAGAATAAATCACGGGGGTAGAAACGAGAGAGAGAGAGAGAGAGAGAGAGAGAGAGATTGTACTTGCAAAGCTTGAGGAAGTTCTTTGCGGTCAAAGGGCATCGATCGGCGTGAAGATCCACCACGACGTCGCCCACGCTAGTCACGATCAGAACGGACATCGCTCTAAATTTTGAGTAATTAGGTTTAGGGTTTTTACTGAGATTAGATGCTCTGAACTGAACGCCAAATGGACGGAGGAGTCGACGAGGAAAATGGGGGAAGGAGAAAGTAGGGTGTTTGCCGTTTTGCGGGTCGGGTATTCTTGGATGTCGAACGAATAGCACCGTTTTTAATGTTTCTTATTCTGAATTAGTCCCTCAAATCATGGAAATTGCTACTACGTTCCGCAACTCTTCATTTATCTGAAGGGGATTTTTCGATATTAGCCCCTTACATCTTAAATATTTTGGTAATAGTCCACCAGGTATTTGAAATTGATATCAGCCCCCCAAATCTCATGATCATGTTGAAATGAGTCCACCCACTTAAAGAATGCAAGACTTGAGATGGAATATTAACTTTAACTTTTAGCTAGATTGGTTGTTATGCCCCTTTGGTTACAAACCTACGCTCATTACTCATTTAACTTACACTCGTTTAGAATGTCAACCTCATTTCATCACAAACTCAAACCCAATTCAACCCTCATCTTCTCGAACATACCGTTTATCCTCAAACCTATTTAATTCAATCTCCGATGGTGCCTATAGCCACCAATGAGCGGATCATTATCTCAAAATTGGACAGTTGTAAAGCTTCCGAGCTGTTAGATATCGACGAATACAACTCAAGAATTGATGCTACACATTTGGGATACTTCCATTGGGAATTCTAATGGGTAAGAAGCGTGGAAAAGGCAATGAAGACTGAGATTTGCTTGCATTAATGAAGAATGCACTGTTGGAAGACACTACAATTAATATTATTGAAACCTTGTATTTTAGGAAATCCTAGTTGTCGTGGATATAGGAGATCAGTTAACCATATAAAATTCATATTTTTGTCTCTTAATCTATTACTCTCCGGTAACTGCTTTACTCTTTTGTTCAAACTATTATTTTCTTGGTGTTTTCATATTGCCCGGTGATTGATTGGTCCATAAAGAAGAAGGAGATCTAATCAGGGTGTTCGGTGACGCTTCCACAGGTGATGCTTATGCATAAATCATTGGTTAGTGCGCAATCATCAGTGTCAGGTTGCGGGAGGCATGCGCCAACAATTGGTGGTGGAGCTAAATGTCAATTTGATTAGAATTGTCTTTGAGGAAAGTTTCAATATTCGCAGCATGGAAATGGAAAAATTTTTAGTTATGAAGACTGAGTGTAAAAAGATCAATGGTAAAAGGGATCTTGGGCTTTGACGGAAAAGGATGGAGGTCGTCTTGGTCCAACATGACTTAGATCAAGCTTTTGCTAGGAGTGAACAAGAAGTCGGAGAAAATAGCAAGTGACATGTCTTACATGAAATGATCAAAAGTTGTGGAGTACAATTCTACTAGCTCATTCTTACGAAGTGGGGTGCCACGTAATTGAGGGGAGGATTGCACTTAGTTTGTGGAAGAAATTTTAGGAGTTGTACATAACCAAGAATGCATCCACTAACTTGTATTGGAAGTAGTAGTTGTATGGACTGTGGATAAAGGAATGTACGATAATGTTAGAGCATATGAGAAACTTCAATAGGATAGTGACCGAGTCAACAGTGATAGGGTCAAAGGTTAAAGATGATGACAAAGCGAGAAGTTTCTTGAATTCTCTTCGAGCAAGTTAATAATTTCTAAACACATTGCTAACTATAAGGCAAGGCGATAATCACCAAGATCGAGATCAAAGCAGTGTTCCTCACGGATGATTTTCAGTGACAACAAGATGTTGGTGATGATTTGGGTTTTTGATGTCATGTCGGTAGCAGATGTGTTTGGAAGATATCTAAACGGGACAAGTTCGCGAGCTAAGCTGTGCTTCTTTTGCTAAGGGAATGCTATGTGAAGAAAGACTATTTCAAATGGTAAGAGTGGTTGAGGGGGTAAGATATGATGGATCAGGTGGCCCAAACTTTATATGCAGCGGGTATTACAGGAAATCAACTAAATGATGCATTAGCAGTTATGGAGGATGAAAGTCAACAAATCAAGGTGTTGATGGTTTCCAAGAACAACACTTCTTGTGGTGGTTAGATATTAGATTATAGAACATCGGCTCATATATATTTACAAACAAGCATGTTTGTCTCCCTAGTGCAAGAAGTCAAGGAGATTATGTACACAGTGGATGGCTTGAGATGCGACATTGTGGGTGTAGGAAGGGAAGAAGGGGAGCATGGTCACCTTGGAGAATGTTCAGTTAATCTCGAAGATGAGGAAGAATATGATTATCCATTGGGGTGCTTAACTTTATGGGCTACCTAGAGCCTCCATTCTACAGAGGCGGAATTTTATCAAGAGGGCGAGGTGTTGCTGGATTGAGGAGTCAAAGGAGCACGAATTTACAGCGAAGGCAAGTCAGATCCCGGCGAACTTCAGCATAAAGAGGAGGGCTTTCGAAGGATCTGAACCCGTATTTCCCCCCGTCCGTTCCTTGAGATTAGGCTTGATCTTAATCTTGAGAAGAGCTACTGATTTTTCTTGGTCGATTAGTGCTTCAAGCGAATACTTCCTTGGTGAAGTAGGAGCTCTGTCAATTTTCTGGCAACCAGATCTGATCCGCGGTCGTCCATAGATATCAATATCCCCGGCATAGACGAAGACCCCACGCAAGCAAGAGTTGATAAACAGTTCTTGTGTTTATTTTCTAGGAAGTTATAATCTTTATTTTTATTATTTGAATTCATTGTAAACGATCAAAGTTGTAATGAACTCGATAATGAAGACTACTTTCGATGAAAACATGCCTCTTTTTTTGAAAACTCTGCCTACAGGCTAAAATCAACTCTTAATCACCTAGACAATATTTAAAAATGACATAGTGCGAAATATCAGAAAATTATCTAAGGGTTAAAGGGGGTTTCATGATATGACCTAAACTTTAGATGGTTTTCTGATATTTTGGAAGTTATGCGAGCTTATTTGATAATAGTTCAAAGGTAAGGAGGGTTTTTCGATGTTAAGCTTAAATATTCCACCACCAACATCAGTCTCATTACATCTCACTAACTGTAGTCAATAGAAAAAAGCTACTATCAAATAAAATAATAAAAACATGTTGAAGCTTCCCACAGATGAAAATCAATATGAAAGAGAAACGAAGCTTTTAAAAATGAGAAGAAAAAAATTTGTGCGATATCCTTCCAAAAGCTCTAGGACTTCTCGACGCATGAACGCAATCCCATTAGCAGAACAAACAAATGAAATTGCACGGTCCTGGCAACTTCCTTAAAGATCCCTTCAAGCCTTCCCATTAGCAGAACAAACAAATGAAATTGCACGGTCCTGGCAACTTCCTTAAAGATCCCTTCAAGCCTCCTGGCTGCTGCCTCTGATAAGCACATCCTTATACGGCGTCGCAAGAGCAGAAGGCTGCGGCTGAGGCCGAGGAGCCTCCACCTCCTTATATGAAGTACTCGCAATAACCGGAGTCTGAGGCAGTGGGGGATCATCCTCCGCCAAAAATCGCCGCCTCCTTCTGCTGTCATCATTGAGGATCAGAGGAACTTTTCCTTCTCTTTCTCTAATGAGTCTTTCGAGTGCACCACCTCGGAGCTTTTCTAGTCTTATTCCATCCATTTGATGCATCTTGAATACCTTTAGTATGTTCAGTAACCCCCCCATGAAAAATAACAAGCTCCCAAATATGCATAACCAAATCCAACTCTTTGCCTGTTTGTGCATCAGAAAAGTTTTGTACCAATTATAACGCGATTCAAATTAAGGTGAGTATTTCTAATTTTAAAAAAAAGAGGCAGAATTTATAGTGGCAAGTATATAAATGTCTAATTTTCTAGGTGAGTATTATTTGCGCTTATAATTTCATGACTATCGATTGACACCGACATGCACTAAGTAAATATTCACCAATAGAAGAAGGATATACTGTTAGATCATAGAGGGGGGTGATTAGGGTCTTATGCTAATCTAATCCGATTTTATGCTAATTAAAACTAATTCAACAAACTATCCTAGCAAGTATGATATGCAACAAGATATATGCAAGGATAAGTGATATACAATAAACAAAATAAACAAGATATTGGGCGATATAAATAACGAGCAATAGACAATGGTGATATGAAATATGAACACAAGATAAGTGCGCCAATGCAATCACAAACAAACAATATGTTCACGGAGTTCGGTCCCCATGACCTACGTCTCCGCTCCTCACCTCGAGGAGATCACAACCGGGTTTTCTACGCTCACCCGAATAACGTTTACGCCTCACACTCGGTTTTCTAGTTTACCGAAAACATTACAATCAACACTCCTGCAATCACACTTTACACCCTCTCAAGTGTTGGTCTCTAGCCCGTGTCTCCCTCAAGTGTTAGGAATTACAACCTACCTCTAGGCATTACCACTTATCTCACTTCTCTTGGGACGACCCCGTCTCTCACCACACACTCCTCTCGGTGTACAAGTGTATTACAAAGTGAACCTCACAATTTACGCACAAATATAACAATGGTTGTTCTCTACAATGGATGAGAACTCAATGTAGGCTCACACTCAATGTCACAATCCCACAACCCAAATTATACCATAAATGTAAATACAATAAGCTCAATGGTTGTGTGTGTACAAAGAGTAAAACAAATATAAACTCAATATAAAATCTAGTTCATGGAAATTAAGATCAAAGAACAATAAATAGCTAGAATTGAGTTTAAGAAACTTCTTTAGATGACATAAATTGAAGCTCAAACACCAATGAATTGATCTCCACTTCCTCTTGTGAAAGTATCTTCACAAACCAAACTTGTGTTGTATAAATATATAAACCAAAACTTGTGTTGTATAAATATATAACTACATATATATACAAAGAAACCAATAAAATGTGTGTGTATAAACCAAAACTTGTGTTGTATAAATATATAACTACATATATATACAAAGAAACCAATAAAATGTGTGTGTATATATGATTGAGCCTAAAGTACTTAACACATATAATATAAACTCCTTAACTAGATTACCCAAGCTATAGGTCTTCAATAAGCTTGACTTGGTACACTTGCGGATGAAGCTTGAACTTGAATCACTTGAATTGCGTAAATTCACTACACTATTCCGCTAACTCCATTGGATTTGATCGTGAATGCTCGATTCCATTCATCCTCCAACTTATTGTTTGCCTAGAATAAATACGAAAATACAAATACTAAACAAACAACATTAGTTGTAAATTGTTTGTTAAACATCATCAAAACAAAAAGGCCAATATATACTTTGTTGGAAAAATATCAAATAAAGTTATAGCATGCAGATAAATCCAAATAAAATAAATAATAAAATCTGGCCCGAACGGGATGCAGTCGTGCAAGCACTGTCCTAGAAGATTGAGGACCTGCCTATCGCCCTGGAGCAGTCGGTCCCCTCCTCTTAGCGGTAAAAGTCCCCAGAAACAACCAACCTCTGTACTCGGGCGGGAGCGCAGAGCTTCTGCTCAGACGAAGACGGTTGCCCAAAATACTTATCACCCTTATCAGCAATAACAATATGAAGCATAAAGAAAGATAACCACACAATCACCAAAACCACCATCTTCCTCCTCACTTAACAACAGTGGCTCCTCCTCTATTATGAAGGTTATGAAAAGGGAAAATATGGAAGCGTTTTTTTCTCTTAATTGAGGTGGAGAGTGTGGAGGGGTTTTTTATATTAGTGAGAGGAGAAAGAGTCAAAAGACAACAATGTGATTGTTGAAGGCACGAGTGAGGAAAAGGTGGGGTTAGTGTGGAATTGTGGAGTTTTTGGTGGAAGTTAGGTGGCAATATTGACTTTTTCCAACAAAATATCCAATAGCCCCCCCCAAAAGGTAATATTGACTGAATACTCAAAAAACAATAAATAAATCAATAAATCACAAAAGAAATATAGGTTGTGCAACCTTTCGTATCGTGAATTCGGGAGAGGTAACTTTCGGCTTTGAACCTTTCCTTAGTGAGTTCATCGCCACCTGAGGGACATAATGAACTAGGCCTTGAATTAGACCCCTTGTACCAGGTATTAACGAAAACACACATAATATATCTTCATCTATTGAGGAAAACAGGTTGAGCGTTAAAGACCATGCTCACAATAACCGACTCATGAGAATTTCTAGGGGTTAGCCCAGCCCCCCCAACCACAGCCATCACGATTCCTCTCATGTAGGTAAGTCCTCCAAGGATACTACAACTGTATATCATACCCTCCACAATATACGTGTTGGACTTATTAAGAGTAAAACTCACCCTAACCAGCTGTATCATAAGAGCATCGTCACCATAGAGAAGGGGTAGTAGAAGATGCTACTATAATGATATATAAATATATCTAAGTCGATGCTCCACACGAGTGTCACTAGTCTAGCTTGTTACTACCACATTGACTACATTGGGACTGCGTCTCCAAATAAAGGTTGTGTTACCACTACCAGTGACCTCACTTATGGGCTTAACCCCATCTGCCTCGATGAATCTAGAACCACACTCCTGGATAGACCTTTAGTCAATGGATCATCAAAATTATTCTCAGACTTTACAAAGTCTAGAATCACAATTTTGCGTAGCATGCGATGATATATATATTTGTCAAGTCCTTATGTTATTTTATAATTAGTCCTTCATATTATTTGAAATTAACATTAGGTCCCATTCTTGTTAAGTTATTTTAAAAATTAGCATCTCTAGGTAAGAGTACAAGTAGCAAGAGGAGGGATTAATTTGAAACAACTTATAAGGATAAGGGAACCTAACAACAATTTTTAATTATTTGATGGACTAATTTCAATATAACTTTTATTCATCATATAGATAGAAGTTATAAGATATACCTCTTGATATGATTTTCAAGACATTGATTCATCACATCTCCTGTAACGAGGCATATTAGTTGACAAAGCATATTTATATCAACTCTAATCATTTCCTGAAATCTCAAGAGAAAGCATTATACATGTAGTCAAATGAAGAACTATACAATGATTCTTCCTAGTCAATATTAAAATAATAGAACATTAAAATATGTTTAGTATAGTTATTGATGTCTCTTATCAAGAAACAATGGATTATAATAATTTGACATTATCATTTTAAATGTGTAAGGTTTTAAACAAGATTTGATATGCGCTCATGTCAAGTAAAAATTGTAATTATCAAGGAAGAAATAGAAAGCAAAAGCACAAAGGGTTTGTGCAGATTAGAATTTGGTCCTTAACTTCTGAACATTTCAAACTAATGTGGAACTAAAATACTGCAGATATGCATGCATATGCACATACATGAATAAAATTACTAATATTTACATGCAAAGCATTCAAGAGAACCTTATAATAGGATTTCGTATCTTAAAGAATATTTCATACTTCATATATATATATATATAAAGAGTCATTCCAAATTTAAATTGGTTGCCTACAAAAGAGACCTTCCAAATTTACGTGGCCATTTTCTAGTACCACCTCTTAACCATATCATTTTGATATTTTAAATATTTTTTATTTTTTTATACACACGTGCTTTAAATTTTAATAAGTGCATTCTTGCATAAATCCTTATAATTAATCATGTAACAAATGCAAGTGATCTAATATGACATATGAACATTTATTGTAATATCCATCATAATGCAATAAAAGAGATAATATTTACTTTTGAAGATTAAAAAAAAATTCACCATATAAAATAGAATTTAAAAGATGCATAGCTTGCAAGATGATATTAGAGATCTAGCTGTCCATGTTTTCCTATAACTGAAGTCATATTATATGAAGATCTTTCCAGGTAACTGATTGTTTTTTTTAAATATTAATACTTTGTATCAATAGTTAGCATTTTACTCTTTGAACTTCAATATCTGGACACCAATAATCGTATATCAAGATAGGGCCCCAGACTAAAACCCCACTAGACAAATTGAATAAACAACGTTAGAGGATTGTGAACTCCAACCAGAATATCCATCTAATTTTCCACAGAAGGCACGTCAAAAATTTAACTACAAGTTAGCAAACAAATGCAATTACCTCCAGTCCTAGAAATTTCACTGATGATGAGTGATAAGAGGCTATTTTTTCCCAATTGAACGTGGCATGCAACGTTTTGATACACTTAACATTCACATGACCCTTAACCATTTGAGATTAATTATCATCATAATTATCAATCATCCAAGTTTCTCATCAAAACAAGGCTCTACTGGCAAGTAGATGATTAAAATCCCTTGGATATGAGCCTAGAAGTAAAATGACATGTTATGCTCGAATCTAGCAGAGGATGAGAAAGAGGCACAAAGGCTTTTGGAAGAAACACATGTGTTGCATAGCAAGCTAGATTAATTACTAGTCAAGAACAATTAATAGCAATTAATCAATTATAATAACTAATTAATTTTAGTAATTAATTACAGTAATTAAATCAGATTAACAGTAACAGTCATCTTAAATTAATTTTTCCGATGAACACTAATGAATAGTTTTAGCAAATCTCACGGATGAAAATGCTTTAATGAATAGTAACTGTATTTTTCCGAGTGAACAATAAGAGTTGATAAATAGTAATTTTATTTTTTTTCAATTTTAAAAATTAACAACTATATCTTCAATCTTCTAGATTGTTGGAAAAATATCAAATAAAGTTATAGCATGCAGATAAATCCGAATAAAATAAACAATAAAATCTGGCCTGAACGAGATGCAGTCGTGCGAACTACCCTAGAAGATTGAGGATCCGCCTATCGCCCTGACGTAATCGGTCCCCTCCCCCTAGCGGTAAAAACCTCTGGAAACAGCCAGCCTCTGTACTTGGACGAGAGTGCAGAGCATCTGCTCAGACGAAGACGGTTGCCCAAAATACTTATCACCCTTATCAGCAATAACAATATGAAGCATAAAGAAAAACAACCACACAATCACCAAAACCACCATCTTCCTCCTCACTTAACAACAATGGCTCCTCCTTTGTTATGAAGGTTACGAAAAGGGAAAAGGTGGAAGCGTTTTTTTCTCTTAATTGAGGTGGAGACTGTGGAGGGGTTTTTATATTAGTGAGAGGAGAAAGAGTCAAAAGACAACAGTGTGGTTGTTGAAGGCACGAGTGAGGAAAAGGTGGGGTTAGTGGGGAATTGTGAAGTTTTGGTGGAAGTTAGGTGGCAATATTGACTTTTTCCAACAAAATATCCAACATACTTGCCATTAGAGACAGTATGATTTTGCTCTGGCCTAGTTCCATCATTTTTGCTAAGAATTTGGAAAACAACCTAGCAGAACTTATTATGAGTATCCTTGCTGATCAATGGATTTCTGATAATAACATACTACATGCAGATGTCAATTAAAAGGAGTTTCTCTTCATTTGCAATAATTTGAATGCACATTCCACTGTTCATGGTTATGAATTGGTAATGAGAACTATACCAGTATCATGTGGCTGAAGACGTTGTGACGATTAAAGAATCCTCCCACCAAGAACAGAAGACTGCCCATTAGGAAAGGAATCTGAACACACTTCTGAAGAATCTGAACATGGCTGTTCGATCTCTCATAGAATTGACACAGGTTGTGGATGGAGCCTATTACCCAGAGCACCGGCCCAACGATCAGCAAATTCAGGGCATGTTTCTCTAGCCTATAGCTATATCCCTTCTCCATCTGCTTTCATTTCACCATAATGTATTAGCTCTTAACAAAGTAAACAAACAATTTTGTTTTCTTGATTTGGGTTTTAAAAAGAAAATATGTAATCTACAAGAGTTTGATAGGTTGCTAAAATTTTGTAATTATGGTGTGAGGACACTTGTTAAGGTAATTACGTCTGAGTAAAGGCCCACATTGAAAAGGATCATAGAGAGTGGTGAGTTTAAGTGGAAGTTTGGCCAAAATCTGACTTGATTCCTAGCTCCATTTAAGACCCATTAACTCCCAATAAGCTTTTGGGTTTCCTAGAATTTATCTAAGGTCCATTAACCCTCAGTTGGGCCTAAAAAATCCACGTAAGGGGCTGTTTGGTTGAAAGTGATGAAAGCTGACATTGGGACCCACTTTTTTATACTTTACATCCTTTTACATGGTAAAAACATACAACCAAACATGGTTTACTACAATACAAGAACTTGTATAGACAAACCTGATAAAGATATGTGTACATAAATGATATTCCAGGATTTTATTCTCTTCTAATCATAGGAGATTAGTTACCTATTCTAGATGATATTCCAGGATTTTATTCTCCTCTAATTATAGGAGATTAGTTACCTATTCTAGATGCCTAATTATAGGAGATTGGATACCTATTTTGGTTCCTTAATTCTCTCTGTAATTGAAGGTTCTGTACTGTATATATTCAATGTGATTCAATAGAAAGATATGCAATTATTTCACTAAAGTCTTCATGGTATCAGAGCCCTGTTTCTGAACCTCTCTTCTTCCCCAGAAACCCTAAACTTCCCTCGCTCTCTCCGCCGGCCGCAGCCACCACGACGCCAAGAGGAGTTCACCTTCAGTCATGGCCAATGAAAATAATCAAGTTCTCATACCCAACAGTCACGAACCCACCAAACCTCTCATTGCAGTCAATGTACACAACTCTGTGAAACTCACATCTACTAATTATCTCTCCTGGAAATTGCAAATCGAAGCCATTCTCATTGGCTATGATCTACAACAATTTGTTGATGGATCCCTCTCTGCACCACCTGCTACAGTCATCGAAAATGGATCCGAAACTCCTAATCCCGCTTATCAATCATGGCGTCGTCAAGACAAATTAATTTTTGGAGCACTGGTAGGCTCTATCTCTCAAAACATCATTCCTCTCATCACTCAATGTAAAACATCTCGTGAGGCATGGATGATTCTCGCCAACACCTATGCAAGGCCCTCTCGAGGTCACATTAAACAAATTAAGGAACCAAAATAGGTATCCAATCTCCTATAATTAGGCATCTAGAATAGGTAACTAATCTCCTATAATTAGAGGAGAATAAAATCCTGGAATATCATCTAGAATAGGTAACTAATCTCCTATGATTAGAAGAGAATAAAATCCTGGAATATCATTTATGTACACATATCTTTATCAGGTTTGTCTATACAAGTTCTTGTATTGTAGTAAACCAAGGTTAAGGAGACAAATTTATGGCTTTAGGATGGCGCCTTGAAATGTGGGCTAAGCGTAAATGTTAATGTGGGCTAAGGTAAAATGTTTAGGTGCCCTTTGATTAATAATAAAGAAAGATGGGGCTTCCTGCAATTTCTGTTGTCTTCTCTATTTTCTTCAGGGGCCGGAGTCTTTTGGGGAGTAAAACCCCCCACAGATAGTAACTCAATATGCATAATTTTATGTACAATGTATCTTTTCAGAACAAATGTACGTATACAACATTTTATTTCTGAATGGATTCCTCGAAACTGTAGTGTTCGACAGCAAAATTGGATATCTACTAAAAATTTCATGACTTACATATTGTAAGATTTTTATGACTCTTATCTTGTGGTCACAATGCCAAATTCTGTCTCTAGCACATATTTTCATCAATTTAATTTTATAAAAACACTTTTGTACGTATTTAAGTTAAAATATAAAATTTCTAAAAGTTACCAAATAAATGATTAAGCACGATTTCTTAAGTCTAGGATCTTTATTGAAGCAGATTTAATCCGAGGTTCTTGATATTTGGAAGCAATATTCATAGATCATTAAGAATTACTGGATATAATTCTGAAAACTATAGAAATTTCTAAATAAATCAACAAACATTAATTAGTTGGGGTCACCTGAATCAAAAGCAACGAAACCCCCACAAACTCCACCAAGGACCCAACAATCACAACCGAAGGCACCGCGAACTCCACAAGACCCAACTGCGGATCAAACCGCACCAGATCCACACAAAAATCAACCCCCACCAAATGCGCGACGAGATCGTGCCCGTTGACGGCCGCAACGAACACGATGCCGATGAGAATGACTACGAGGCCAGACTTGTCGTCGAGTCG